CGGCGCCGGGGCTGTGCCAGGAACGAGGCGCGCCGCGCTGTCCGGACAGGAAATATTTCAGTCGTACATCCACTTGACTGACGGTTTTAGCCCGGGGATTGCTGACTTGTTTCATTTCACGTTGAAAAGGATTAAGCTGCGCTTGGTAACAAGGGGATTTATAAGGGGAAGCGGCCAAAGCGCAAGGAAGGGAACTGTTGGTAATGAGCTGCAGCTCTGGCGTTGCCGCCGTCTGTGCAGGAGCCAGGGCAGGGCGACTTCTTCGAGCGAGGGGGCTGCTAGGACACAGAGCGCCCTGGATGGCAGCGTGCGGGGGCCCTGTGGCTTCCCAAAACGTAACGCTGCTGGCAGACAGTGGCTTTCCATCAGCTGCTCAAGTAAGACCTGGAAACGATCAGGATAAAGGGGCACGAAGACAGAGTTTTCCTCGTCTCCTGTAAAGGGGATAGCCAAGCTCCTCTCCGTTGCTTAAACACCGAGGTTTGACCACATTGCCTTAAAGCACCCGTCACGGAAATAAAGGCACTTTGTTGTCTGCGCAGATTCCTGTCAATACAGAGGAGATTTTAGGTCAGCACTGGAAAGGCATCGTGTTCTGTCCTTCTGCGCGCTAGGGCCGAGTTGTTGGGGGCTTTTGAAATTCGTTTGGCTTTTTGTTCCTTTCGTGTTGTTGCATGATGCGACTGCCTAACTACAACAAATTATAGTTGCGTGGAAATTGATGCAGTATCGTATCTGCTGGCAGAGATTGTATTCACTGCTGTTTCAGTTATACGTTACCCTAATCGCTGTTCTGTATTTAAACGCAAAATTTTAAAGTAGTGAAACAGGCAGCCCAAGTTCCATCTCATGGTTCAAGCTGGTGAAATGGCTCTGGGTTATTTTTATGGTAACCCAGGCAATGGGGTTTTTTCGAGTTGCTGTTCCGTTCAGTAGCGTGTGGTCAGTAACGCAACATGCGATTCACTCTCGGACAAGCTTTGTCTTTGTAAAATTGCTCCTTTTTTATCTGCATATTGTACGGCTAATCGGCTCGCAGTTTGCTCAGGAGCGATTCTCAGGCAGGGTGTATTGTGCACCACGCTATGTCCAAGAAGTGCCACTTCCAGATTTCACAGCAATGTTTCTGACTGGTTTGTGCAATAGCACAGAAAAAAATTGCACCCGAAAAACCATAGCTTAAAACCAATCTGTTGGTTTATGCTCGGCGTTAGAGCGAACTTCTTAAAAAAAATGTTTTCTTCTTTCTAGTGTTTGGAAAAATCAAGTGATAGGAAGCTTACAGCTTCCCTATGGGGTTTTGTTTTGAAGCAGTAAAATAAAGTAATAGCTGAAACTGTAAGAAGTTAGTTTGGTTTTTAATATTGGATTTTCTTTCTAAAAAGAAAGAATGGTTCGGAGAGTCTTGACTTCTGAGAGAAGCTGCATTTAAAAGGACAACAACAGATGAAATTCCCTGGAAAAGGCTCTTGTTTCTAATCAGAGTAGGCTGATTGGTAAGGTTAGGAAAGCATTGAGCATCTCTTAACTTGTTGGACTGCTCTTTAAAGCACATGGCCTTCTTGATCTCCTCAATTTGTGTGTTAGTCACATATTTTCATTAATTTAGAGAAAGTCGTCACTGAATAATAAATCCATCATTGGGTAATAAATCCAGTGTTTACAAGGTATTTAATCGAGAAGAAATACACCAGCTCAGCTTTTAAAGAAGCCAATAGTAATCTAGTAAAATCTGTCTAGAGGTCTGAAAAAGAATAAAGCTATTTTTAATAATTAATCATAGAAATCTTGTATGTTATTAACTTGAGGGCAAACATTTCAGTGTATTACTACACTGTGATACGCAGTCTGAACTGTATCTACTTATTTAGCGGTAATTTCACACCGAAGTTTTCAGTGCAGTCACAATACCTAATATATGTCGCTTGTCTGATGGTTTTTGTGTGGCTTTGAATTGAGAAATTCCTTCCCTTTAACAAAAAAACCACAGCCTGCTTTCCAAATAGACAGTGTTTTTAATTATTTTTCTTGAATCCAGTGAGAAAACAGTTTCTAGAAGACTAAAATCTTTCTCAAGCGTTGCATTTTCCCCGTTTGCAATATTTCGTTACTGAGCACATTCCTTCCGATGTATTTTCGAAAAGCAGACTGTCTCAGCGGGGCTGGATCCAAGATACAGTTCAAAATTGAACAGCTCGCTCTGTTTTGTGAATGCGTAGGTGGTGTAAGTTTAAGCTTTAGGTGTACGTATATGTGTTATGCATGCGTGTGTGCGGAAACACAGCTGTACGCAGATGCATGAACTTAATGCTTTCTGCTTTGGGGCTCGGGATGTTTGTGAGATGAACATTTGCGGTGGTACCTTCCCCCGTCTGCTTTCTTGCCATTGTAGTTTCTGAAGGGGGGAGCTCAGCATTTTTGTGTCAAACTTCAGTGAGGCTTTTTAATAAGAGGTAGAAAGATTAACCGGCATACTTGCGTACAAACAGCAGTAGTAGATAAGGTACTAACGGAATATTAGGAGGAAAAACCTCCCACGGATAAAGATGGCTTGATGAAAAACAAAACGGGTTATTAGTTGTTACAGAGCGTGGTGTCCAGAATCAGTTGTTCTGACAAAGGCAACTCTTACGTGGAAATACATATTGGTACTAAATAGTAGCATGCTCTGTCTTTTTCGAAGACTCTGTGACAGCAATTTATAAAATTACCAACCTAAGTTACGAGCACTGCTTTAAAGATGGTAAAAATCCAATGGTTGACACAGTAGGGGTCTCCAAAAATACTTCAAAAATTAATTAAGAAATCTGCAGTTCTGCGAATTCCCGACCCTGGGCTGTCTGATTCAAAACCATGACTCTTCTCCATTGCAAAATCAATGTCAGAGTGTATTGGATAATTGCAGTACAAAAATATAGTTTCTGTGCAGCTAATATGTTGAATAAAAAAATCATTTCTTTCTTTATTAAATAGAATCTTTCCAAATAAATATCTGCACTGCAGGGCGGTGAAGCACAGCCAAACAGCACCACCTTATGGACAGTTTTTTCCCGAGGCTGCAGCTGCCATTACCTCTCTTGGTTTTGTCACCTGATTTGTTTCTCTAAAATATACATAGATATGTGTGTGTGTGTATAAATACACCGCCATGCCTTTTGAAATCTATCACCTGTAGAAAATGTAACATTTTTTTTTTTATTGGTCTTTCAGGCATCTGATGCCAGCTCTGAGAAACTGTTCAACGCTGTTACAAATAAAGGTAAGACTGCAATTCACATCGCAAACATATTTTTTTTTTTCCCCACACGTTTCTTTTCATGGCAATTTCAATGGGAGATGAAATGTAACTTGTCTTGCAGAAATGTCGCAATCAGCTTGTTAGTGCTTTTTATGTTTCTCTTGGTTTCAGACATGTTCTGCATGCTTGGTAATTGCTTTGCTTAAGCAATATAAAATAAAGGCTTTAAATAATGCATTGCCTGCCAGGTCAGAATTAATTTAAATAACAATATTAGGGAATAGTTTATTTTACAAATGGCTTTAATTTAAGCTCATTTAAATAACTGTAAGAGTTTTCAAAATGTTTTAACTTGATTGTTACTCATCAGCTACATGATAGACGTGGAATTATGAATAGCCAATTTGCACTGCTGACAGTAATAACCAGCCAACGTTTAGTATTCACAGGATAATAGTCATAAACCATGGCTTACTGTGCTGTGTGCTTTCTGTAGAGTTAATAAATGATATAGAGGGCCACATTTAAATATTCAGTATCCCATTAATTTCTTCCAAACAGCAATCCAAAGAGAGAGTGGCTAATGATATAACAGTACATTAAGGGAAAACTTACCCTAAATCAGTGCCAGTGAGCTTCTGTGCAGAGCTTGTCCTGAAGCGGCGTTATTAGAAAGACTGTAGGCTTTGGGGATTTTTTATTTTTAATTCTTACTTTTGGTTTGGTTTGTATTTTTGTGAGGAGGGTCAAGGGAGCAGCTCCAGGCGTGAGTTGCGCCAGTGAGCATAATTCAAAGCCTTTTAAACGCGTCCAAAATTCACCCCACTGTCCTCCTTCGTAATGGCAATGCATGCTAACTGCTTAGTAAAAGGGTGTGCTTTTAGCTGCAAACCCACGGTATTTCAGCTTACTGTTTTTTAGGAACATTTGACTCAGTTTGCATTAGAAAAGACAGATTTGATTCATTTGGAATTTAGGTCTTTTTTTGTTGACCGGGTGTGGATTTGCTCAGTATTTGCCCTGTGTGCTTCTCAAGGAGTGTGGGGTTGTTGTTCCAGCGGGTCATTCCGGTGTTCTGCTGTGTCCTTTAATTGCGTGAAGCTGTAGCGGTTGAACTGGGCACAGCTTGTGACCCCGTTATGTTTGGGATTCCCGTGCTGATATGCCATTGCTTCTGAAGTCTTTTGCTGCATATTGAATTATACCTATATTTAATTGCGTTACGGATCCATATTCCTGTTTTTCATGTATTAGCATCCTTTGGAAGTACAGTCGGGATGGATTATTTCAGTGGTCTAACTAGGTTATCTCACATGGCAAGCTTATGTGTCCTTTCCGATTAATTGGATTTACAGGTTCCCCCTTGGCCCCTCCGTAGGCGGAGAATAGGTGGCACAGACACGTAGAAAGGACGAGTTGTGTGTTTGGAGTGACCCGAGCCCCCACGCTACATGGACTGCACCTTTCTTTTGCTAATTCGCTGTAAAAAGCTTTGGCATTTGAGCAGCCCTTTCTTGGGGCTGGGCCAGGGCCAGGAGAAGCCTCCGCATTCCTGGCGGAGGCCTGTAACCAGGCTGAGGGGGCTCTCCTCCCCGGGAGGTGATTGATGAAGAGTAGGCCCCTCTTCCTCTTCCTTTCGTTTTCTTTTTTTTTTTTTTTTTTGAATCAAACACATTTCCCACATTCTTATTTTTGTTTACTTACCGAGCTTGATTCGTGGCATCTATGTGGTTGTGAATACCCATGCTTGACAGGGAGCCTTTTCTTCTGAGGTACTTTTCTTTGGTGATTTAGTTCCCTTGAAAGGATTAGGGTTTCTTTGTGTAGCCTAAAATCAACATGGGCTTTTCGAAGCTTTGCTTGGGAAACCGTACACAAATAAGCTTTTTAGTTGATGGTGGATGATTCCTTTGCCCCTTATTTCCATCAAAATGGCGTCTTTCTTTTCTCCTCCTGAGTTTTCCCTTAAAGCCATATGCTAATTCCTGTTGGTAACATGAATGACAAGGGAAGAATCAATGCAAATCCAGGTGCGGCCAAACTAGGCTGACTGGTATTTTCTTTTTTTTTTTTTTTCTTTTTTTTTTTTTTCTTCCATGGGGAGAAAGAGATTAAGGGGAAAGAGGGCGGAAAAAGCATAAGGGACAGTTTTGTTAAAGGGATTAGCATTCAAACTGCTAAATATCAGGAAAAGAGCCTCAAAAAAGATCCCCTGTTTGGAGATAACGTCAATAATTGCTTGCAGCCAGGTGCAGGGCTCTCCCTGTGGCCGGCGGTGGTTGGGAGGCTGTTGCTTTCTCCAAGTGTCTGCCCTGGGGACGGCTGACGACTGCCCGGGCGCTGTCAGTTTGATATATTCCAAGTTCAAGTTCTCTCTCTGCAATTCAGTCTGTTTGCTTCCAAGCCAGTTCTTCCCCCCCGTGTTGTCCGTGGCTGTTTTTGCCAAAAGCAATAAAAGTCACTCGTAAGAAAGGTCAGATTTGCATTGGGTAAATCATGATGAAACCTTCAAAGCTCCTGGCTGATGGAGCAGGCTGGGCAGGCTCGGCAGGCTGACAAGTGCACATCCCTCTGTGTCCGCAGCCATTCCTCTCACATGTCCCACAGCTACCCATGTCTCACACGTGCTTTTTTTTTCTTGCCGCTTTTATTTTGCAGAATTTTTTATAGCTGAGGTAGCAGAAATTACAGAAGTAATGTATTTACCAAGCAGGTAGAAATCCTGAAGCATTTTAGGTCTTGCGTATGCATTTCGTCCCTTTTCTGTCGTTTGGTTGTGGACTTCAAGGCCAAAGATGAAATCAAGCTCAAGGTGTGATGGATTAGTATGGATGGGATGTGTAATGTGGGACAGTCCCTTCCTCAGAAATACTAGTAATTAAAAAGTCCAGAGAAAAGTGAAATCCCGCCCAAAGCTCTCTTGAAGAGGTGGTAAAACCCCTTCAGGAGAAGTCTCTCAGCTTCCATTCAGGAGTTAGCTGCCCTTAGAGCTGAATGGGAAGGTGCATCCCTAAATCTAGAAGGGTCCTTTGAGTTTTGGGAGGTGGCATGTGGATGTTGGGGCCCCTCAGGGCCAGGATATGTGTCGTAGCCGAGCGATGCCACATTGGAGAGGGTCGTGGGGTTCCCACATCGGGTCTGTGCTGCCACCACTCCTGGAGGTCCCCAGCCCTGTGCCATGTCTGCAGCAGGGCTGGGAATTTGGGAGGGACGTGGCTTGGTCCCCAGAGCAGGAATCGCTGTAGCCACCGCTGAAATGAGCTGTCTCTGTTCGTGGATGAGAGCCCTGTGCTCCATCGCTTGGGCAGGAACACTTTACCTTGTAATGCTTAAAATTGTCTAGGGAAATGATTCCCATGGGAATCCAGGTAGCTGTGTTGGGAGGTAAGCGCCCAAGGGTCTGGGCCCTTAGTAATGCTTCAAAATCAGGCTTTTAACATCTGAATGAATGAGATGGACAAGGGATGGAAGAGGAGTGCATCGCCCGCCTGCAGCTCCCGGTCTGTCCCCTCCCTCCCTGCAGGCTGGGCCTTCCAGTTTGGGATTGCTGCTTATAGTCTTTCAACAAACATAACTTTTCCTTACCCTCTGAGAGCGTCAACCTTAGCACCATTAATCCTGGCCAAAGTACAGGTTTTGTTCATGAATTTTTGTAACATGACTTTCCAGCATAATTAAATTCCATTATCTCTTCATAATTTAAATAGACACATCTGAAGCTGTAGAGCAGGCAGCTCCTACTACTACTGTGTATTTCATTTATGTTAACTCCCTCCTACGTACCCTTGGAATACAGCTTTTCCTGGAGGGAGAAATGAGTCCCAAAGTGATGAAGTTTTCATTTGTGCTGTATATTGAAGTTTGCCTTTGATCAGAAACACAATTGGGCTGTTGCAGCTTTTTATGTTCAAATTGTTTACAGGATATTCATGTAAACTTTATGAATCCTTCTGCTTCCTGGCACCACCAGCTGTCAGGGAAATATTTATACTCTCAGCTGGAGGTAGATCAAGGCGTCTGGGTTCCTAGTCTTCACTGGTGGCTGAAATACCGGTCAGATCAAGCCCAGGCTTTTTAGGTGGTTGTACAGCAATATCCTTCCCTAGAAAAACAGGCGTGTTGTTTCTCCCCTCGTCTGTCTGTGGTGAATCATTTCTTGAGGATCCTCTACAACATCTGTTTCTGTAAACAAGTAGGGAGCTAAAGTTGGCAAATACTTCAGTGCTGATCCCATTCACAGGAGATCCTTGGCTGTGGAGAAGTGCTCTCGCGCTCTCTAAGTAAACCATCCCCACAGCATCTCATGTTGAATATAAGTGGATCCACTACTGCAGAGAGAGCATGCGTGCGACATTAACGTGATCAGTACGCCAGAGAACTGACTGCTGCTGCCTCCCTCCTTTCCAGGGGTCTGTAGGAATCTATATAACATCCTCACTCACTTGGTCTCTCTTCTCCGTGTTGCTTTTGATTTTTGGGGGGGCTGCTGTCTGCATATGTTGGCCCTCTTCTCACTGAAATGCTTCTTCCTAGCTTGCTGTTAGGGCTCTGGAGCAATCCCGGCGCTGCGGGAAACCCACCCATCGGCCAGCAAACCTTGGGGACTGCTGAATCGTACGAGCAGTTCCACAGGTTTCTTTTTTTGTGGCTGTTACGATGGCTCATCCTCCCAAAGTGGCACCCTGACAATGGTGTCTCCATGCCTTTCCTGTGGAGACTTCCCTGGTGGCTTTGGATCGCTTGGTTTGCCTGTGTTTGGTGGGTTTCAAATGGCTTTTCAATGTTTTCCATGTGAAAGTTCAGTGCCTCATTAGCAAGGGACTGAGCGCTGGAAGAAGCCTCCGGTTTTGAGGGCCTCAGGTTTCTTGTACCTGTGATTTAGATTAGAAGAAGCGGTGTATCACTTCACTCTCACTTCAAGTCAGGCAGACAAAAAAGTCAATATATGTCTCGAGATGGTCCTTTGTTCTGGTACACAAAAGAGCGAGGCAGTTATTTCCGTGCCGTGAAGGCTTTATCTG